AGTTTTTGGAAAATTGATGAATAGTGTTTTTATCGAGTAAAAATACAGCGGTACAATTGCACCAAAAAGCGTGTCGAATGAATTATGAGCTCTAGAATTGGAAATAAGTTATAAATGGTACATAGGACTAAGAATTATTATTTTTGATTAAAATTGATTGAAATTAGATTTTTTGGTGAAGCGTGCCCACAATGCACTTAACAGCTTAAAACTGTGATTTCACTGAATAACCGGAAAACTCCGGATTCATCCGATCAAGAACAATTAAAGGACATTGGTGAATGTTAAAATTTGGAGTTTCTAAATAGTCTAGGAGTTAATTGGAGTTTAGTCATTTAAGCGGGAGATTTGAATTAATTTGAATTGCACGAGGTGGCAGTGAGACCCACCCCATTTAAGTGAATTAAAGACACATTTGAATAGGCACTATTCACCATCTTCTTCCTCTCCCTCTCTCCAGAAACATGTGGCCCTCCCCCTTCCATTGTGCAAATTTCCTTTGGTTTTTCCTCCACCAAAACCAAAGTTCCACTACATGAAACTTTAAGTAGAATGCATTCTAAACCCAACCATGATACTCTCAAGCCTTGAAACTCATTAATTTGGGATAAAAAGCTGACCCATTGCCACGGATTTGGTGAGGAAACTTGGTGTTCTTGGATTGTTTGATCAAGTCATTGCTTGGATATCACTTGGAGGAGTCTTAGGCCTTAATCCTTAGTAAGTTTCAACATTTTTCATTGAATAATTTGGTTGATTGAGTTTATGAACCCTAGAGCATGTGTGCATGGATTGATGTGGTTGGGGACCTCAAATTGAAAATATGTATTAGATAAATATGTCTTAGAATGATGTTTTATGATGATTGAGCTCATAAAATTTATTGAGGAAAAGTATGATAAGTTAGGCAAATTTTATGGTGGATATGCAGGACTTTATAAATAAGAATTGTGGTGTGATTGTATAATTGAGTTGTGAAGTAATTGTATGGGTTAATTATAGGATTGTAGGAAGTGTTGAATTGTGGAATTGAATTGAATACCCCTTGGTACATTGGTATGTACATTTCGACCAAATGGGGAAAATGAGCAAAGAAGTTGTAAAATTCATGTAATTGGTGTTGTGAGGATTAGAGTTAAGTTTAAATAGGTTGTGTGTGGGTGTGATGCATGTGAATTGGAAGCAAAACCATTGGATGTGCGTGGAGGTGATTTTCGGCCATAATGAGGAATTTTAGGGAAAATGGTGTTGAGTTGTAATTGAATGGAATTGGGGACTTGAAATGATGTTGTTAGGAGCTTGGGAAACTATTGGGATGTTGAAATACAATTAACAACCAAAAATATGTAAAAGGGCCTTGAAGGCCGAGTTGTTGTGGTGTGTGGGGGGGAGTGTAATGCTTTGCATTTCAACTTGAATTGATGATCCTATATGTGGTCAGTGTGGGTTTCCTCCCTCGGACGTGATCTTTGAGCAGTGGGCTTGGTGGATTGCCTTTGGTCCTTGACCAAAAGGATTATGGTAAGTATTTATGGCAAATTGTATAAATGCTTGAATAACCAAGTGTATGGTTTTATGTGGGTTGCCTCCCTCGGACGTGATCTTTGAGCAGTGGGCTTGGTGGATTGCCTTTGGTCCTTGACCAAAAGGATTGTGGTAAGTATTTATGGCAAATTGTATAAATGCTTGAATAACCAAGTGTATGGTTTTATGTGGTTCTAATGGATAAAGGAATGACCTGTTGTGTAGGCATTTCTAGATGGACCAAGTTCTGGTGTAACTTGCATTGGAGCTACCTAGCTTGGGAGCTTCAATAAGGTAATCCCTTGGTACTGGGGTTAATCCCCGTGTGTGCTCCACCATGCCCATTGGGGTAGTGGTCGGAGGTTGTACGTCAATGATGTAGTTATAACATGCTCATGCATGTGTATATATACATATATTAGGTATATGGGATGTACCGTATCTCTGGCCAGTAGATAGTTTGCCTTATGACGTTACAGACTTCCACTGAATAGGTCTCCGTGAGGGAGTTCCAGTTAACCTGGGGTCATAGAGCTGTTATACGTTGAGGAGCACTCTAGGAAAGTCTCGGGTGTATTGGTGATGGGTGCCTTGGTTGATGTTCTGGGAATACATCCTTGGATGAGAGCCCGTAGGCTATATATCGAGGCCAATAGGTCTTTTGTTGCATGGTTTTGTCTTTGACCATTCCAGTTTCATCGTACGTTTTCTCCCTATGCATCCCTACTTCACTAAATCCCTTGCTTTATCCCGTTTTAGTTGTTATGACTTTATTGCGACTCGGCAAGTGCACCGGTCGTAAAGTAATAAAGTGTACTGAGTACGAGATCGTTCCCACGAGGATCAGAATCTTCAAGCACTAGTTCGCTAATTGCGTCTTAGTTGGACAATCAAGAATTGGATTTGAGAGAATTATAATTGAAGAACTTTAAAAATTAAAAACAAGTAATAGCATTCAATCAAAAAAATTCAGAATTAAAAATAATGAATGAAAGGATGATGTTTGATTAAGAACTTAAAACAAGCGTAGTTAAGGTTTCGACTTCTCCCAATTTCCTCAATATGTTATGAATTAAAGAGTCAAGAATCTGTTTCTTAATATATTTCCAATCAATTATTTCTAAGTTAATTAGGGCTCAATTCCTTGTTACCCTAAATCTATGTGATCTTGAAAGAACTCTAGTTCCCCGATTATTCCCCAAGAAAACATGCATTAAGATCAAGAATTACAAGATTGCATAATTACCCTATGTCTATCCCTAGATCACAAGGATTATGATAAATTTACCAAGTAAGGGTTCATGCACCAACATCCCTATTGTCATATAATTCCCCAAAATCATTCTATAAGGAACAAACTCATAGAAAGCATTAAAGACAGATAATTTATTCAATTATAAAAAGAAAAGAATTCAGAGACAATTTAATTCATAAACATAAAGATTCAATTGGGTTCCATCTACCCCTAACTACAAAAAAGACTACTCTAGCATACTGAATTTAAAAACAATGATAAAGAAAAGAGAACCCCAAGCCTCCATTGGTGTGATGTTGACTTGGTTCCTCAGTGTTCCAGCGCTCCGCAACAGGATTCCTCCTTCAGGTCTCTATGTAATTCTCTGGACTTGTGTATTGATGAATTGGTCTGACCCTCAGCTCCCTTTTTATAACCATTGGAGTTATATCCTTCATTGCATCTCTCACCGAATCCGTATCATATTTATGGTTGATTCTACAATTGTTTCCTTTTTGCATTTAAGATCTTGTAGATTGGTGACAGATTTTGAGCTTTGAATCTTTGTTTTGATCTTCCATCATATCTTCCCATGGATTTGTATCTATCTTCAATCAAGATTGATTTGTTTCTGTTTTAATCCTTGATATCGCGATCTGTATCCACTGTTAAATCTTAACTGAATCTTGGGCTGATTGGTTTGTTCAGGGATGTTTTAGCGTGCTATTAGTGCGCCAAAACGTTCTCTTATTGCATTCATGTCTGCCTCTGGGCGTTTTGGCGTGCTTTTGGGCGCCAAAATGTCCTTTTCGAAGGATTTATGGTTGCTTCTGGCGCGTTTTGGCGTGATGTTTGGATGCCAAAACGCTATGGTCTAGGGAGTTATTGTGTTTTTCTTCCTTTAGAGCGTTTAAATGCTAAGTTTGGACGCCAAATCGTCCTCCTCCAGCTTGTAGATGCTTGAAATCTTGCTTCTTTGATGTTTGAACTCATCTTGTTGCATTCCTTTGGCTCCAAAAAGCCATAATGAACGTTAAAAAACCTTTGAAATCAGAAATATTACAAGATGTGAGCAAGATATTCAATTATGGTGACATTAAGGTATAAAACCCTAATTTCCATGCAACTCATGATATATTTCAAGCATAATTAAGCCTAGAACCATGGTAAACCAAGGGTTTATCAACCATTCCCATATTTGAACATTGTTGTCCTCAACAATGCACTAGAATAACTTAATGGAATTCAATCAAAACTTTCAATTGCATGGAATTCATAGGCAGGATTTAATCATAGAAATGACTACAAAGCATTCAGACTTAAAAAGAATGATACATCAAAACAGCAAGATCAATGATTCATCAGTAAAAACTTTTAATGAGATTCTTTAAGATCAAGAACGGGGAAAACTTCCTGAGACACTCCCTCACTAGGATTTTAATTCACTTGCACTCAACTGTTTTAGAGGGTTGGTGTTTCGCTCTTATTCCACTGTATCAACACTACCATAGGCTTGCTTATATTCTCGCTCTCCACAGTTCTTATGATAAATTAAGCAGATCAAGAGGTCTTTAGCAGGGTTGTAACGTGGCCTGGTGAAAGGAAGGAAAAGATTTTTGGAACAAAAGATTAAGATTAAAAATTCAGATTAAGGAAGGGAATAAGTGTTGTTCGTTTCTTCCGGCTATAAAGCTTTTCTTCTTTCCAGTTCTTCATTTGAACTTTTTTCTTTTGTCGTTTTCTGTCTAAGAATATTTTCTTGCTTTTCACTTCTTTTCCTTTCTTTTCTTTGAGTAATTTGCTTGCTCTTCTTTGTTCTAACCAAATTTCTTTTTATTTTTCCTTGAGCTTTTCCCTTTTGCTTGTACTTCTTCTTTCCGTTGAACACATGTATAGTCACAACTTATATCCACTCCTTACTTCAAATCTGAAATTAATCTTCTATAAAGGTGAGGATTTATTTGGAGAGTTGGCTTTTATCATTCAAGGGTTTTTTATGAATAAAAAGTTTAGGCTCAAGGGGGCTTAACTAAGGAATATCAATAAAGGTTAGCTATTTGGCCATCTAGTTAGCGAAAGAACATGCCTCTATCATCTCTACAAAATATATCATAGTCTGATTCAATCAAGAAATAAAGCAAGTTCTAGAGTATCTCACCAGTGGAATGAGCTAGGGATCTGAATTTGTGCTCATTATAGCTAGGGTCAGCTGCTTGCCCAAAATTGGACCCACCCTTCGGATTCACCTTGGTCCTCTTAGGATTTTTGCCTCTGGTAGATATACCTGAAATTCAGAAAAGTATTCCAAGTTAATTGCATTACATGAATCAATTTCAGGATTTGTCTATTAGGAGTTTCCATATGTGTTCTTCAATTTTCATAGTAGTTGTCACTTTCATCTTTAACTTGTAGTGCCCATTTCTAAACCCAAGTTCAGCATACATCAATTAATGGATATATATGTCAGTAGTTATATTTTAAGAGTATGTAATGTAGCCTTATTTCCTAATTACACGCATGGCTAAAGCTTTTGCAAGTGAGTGAAATATTTAACATGTGTGTTACACTCAAAAATACTACCCTGCTGCATAGCTCCATAGCTTTTCGTCAATTATGCAAATCATGATGCCATAACATGAAGACAAATTTAAACATACCATGCCATGCCATATTTCCCTTCCATTTCATGCTTCAATTTCCAACCCAATAAAGCACTCAAGAACAGGGGATATAACATGATCATTTTATAGCTTTGGATTGTATTGTCAAAATTATGACATGCTGTAGCATTCAATCTCTAAGCAGCATTGTATCGAACATGTGGTGTGCTTCTTTTTCCATTCATCAAAATTTTGTTTTCCACCTTGAAAGCCTTCCCATGAATGTACCCACCATAATCTCACATACCTATTTCAATTGCATATGATTTCATTATATTGTCCTCATGTCAAAAATCCTAACTCCAAAATTTCATACAACCTTTATGACTAGGGCATGCGATGAGTAAAAGGAAAAACTTTATCATTCTAATATTCTATTCAACCATCAATGCACCATGTACTTACATATAGAATGGAGTAATTGTTTTGAGTACATACCTTGTGTTCCTGGGAGTATAGTTGACAATGTGTTCTTGAGAGAGAAAGAGAATTCAAAGAGATGAGAATAAGATGAGAGTAAGAGTGAGTACGAGGGATTGGGGAAAAGGGGGAGAAAAAGGCTTTTTAAATTCCTTGAGTGGCTGAGCGCGTTTTGGCGTCCAAGAGCACGCCAAAATGCGCTCTTCGATGCCTTCTTTTTGCTTTTTTAGAGCGTTTTAACGCTCTGATTAACGTTTAAACGCTAAAGAACAGTGACCGTTGTGCCTATTTTTCTTTTATTAGCACGTTTTAGCGCGCATGTGGCCGCTAAAATGTGATCTTCGAAGCTCAGGTTTGCTTCTTCTTCAGCGTTTTGGCGATATGATGAGCGCCAAAACACTAGGAGGCAGGAATATTTTTATATTTTAATCTTAAAATTTCATACCTTAGCCTCTTGAGTCTGCTTTCTGAACCTAGCCACGACCTTGGTCTCATATCTCTTTTGTTTTCTTTTCTTAAAATAAAAATAAACTAAAATTTAAAATGAAACAGTAAATCATGGGTTTTCCTACCCGTCAGCGCTTGTTTAACGTCACGAGCCTGACTTACCTAGTTCAAATTACCTCTACAAAGGCAACGGTGGTTGTTCCCCTGTCTATTTCTCCTCCCATGCATAGTTTCAGCCGTTGACCATTCACTCTGAAGCTCTTATCGGAATCTAGCGGACTGATCTCCACTGCTCCATATGATTTCATGTTCCTTACGATGAACGGTCCCGACCATCGAGACTTTAGTTTCCCAGGAAAGAGACGAAGACGAGAGTTAAAGAGTAATACCTGATTCCCTACCTTGAAGTCTCTGGGTAGGATCTTCTTGTCGTGCCACTTCTTCGTCTTCTCTTTGTACAGGCTCGCACTCTCGTACGCAGATAGTCTGAACTCGTTAAGCTCATCCAGTTGAAGCAATCTTTTTTCAACTGCTGTCTTGGAGTCAAAGTTCAGGTACTTGATTGCCCATAGTGCTTTGTGTTCCAATTCTACTGGTAAGTGACAAGCTTTCCCGAACAGTAACTGGAAAGGAGACATACCTATTGGTGTCATAAAGGCAGTCTGGTATGCCCACCGTGCATCATCAAGCTTCTTGGACCAATCTTTTCTGGAGCTTCCCAATGTTTTCTCCAAGATATGTTTCAGCTCTCAGTTGGAAATCTCCACTTGACCACTTGTTTGCGGATGATATGGTGTTGCAATCTTATGCTTCACTCCGCATTTAGCTAGTACGTATTCCACTTGTCTGTTGTCAAAGTGAGTTCCTCTGTCACTTATGATTGCTCGCGGTACTCCATATCGAACGAATATATTTCTTTTTAAGAACGCGATGACCACCCGAGCATCATCAGTAGGAAGGGCAACAACCTCAACCCACTTGGAGACATAATCAACCGCAACAAGGATGTATTTGTTGCCATACGAGGGATGAAATGGTCCCATGAAGTCTATTCCCCATACATCGAAGATTTCAACCTCCAATATATTGTTGAGGGGCATTTCATGTCTCCTAGAGATATTCCCCGTTCTCTGACATCTATCACATGATTCCACGAACTTCCTTGCATCCTTGTAGAGTGTTGGCCAATAGAAGCCACTCATCAACACCTTTGCGACTATTCTTTGTCCTGTGAAGTGTCCACCATAGCTTGAACCATGACAGTGCCACAGGATGTCCTTCATTTCTTCTTCTGGAATGCATCTCCTTATTACTCCATCAGCACATCTGTAGAACATAAAGGGCTCATCCCATAGGTATTTCTTGACATCATGTAGAAACTTCTTTCTTTGTTGCCATGTGAAGTCTATTGGAATTTCTCATGCTGCTTTAAAATTTGCAAAATCCGCAAACCATGGAGGTGTACTTGTGGTCTTTACTTCCTTCGGTTGTGGATCCAAGATAACATTGATAGCCATAATTTGCTCATCGGGAAACTCCTCTCTGATCTTCAGCTCAGGTCCGTCTTGAAGATCTTTCTCTTGAATTCTGGAGAGGTGATCAGCCACCAAGTTTTCTACACCTTTCTTGTCTCTGATCTCCACTTCAAATTCTTGAAGAAGCAATATCCACCTAAGTAATCATGGCTTTGCATCCGGCTTATTCAACAAATACTTTAAAGCAGCATGATCAGCGTAAACAATTACTTTAGATCCCAGCAAATACGGTCTAAATTTATCAAATGCATAGACAACTGCTAGTAATTCTTTTTCAGTGGTTGCATAATTCATTTGTGCATCATTTAGAATTTTACTAGCATAATAAATCACATGCAACAATTTATTCTTTCTTTGTCCTAAGACAGCTCCTGTGGCATTATCACTAGCATCACACATTAATTCAAAAGGTAACGAAAAATCGGGTGCAGTGGTTATAGGTGCAGTGGTCAATTGATCCTTTAAAATATTAAATGCAACCAAGCATTCATCTGTGAAGTTGAATTCCTCATCCTTGACCATCAACTTGCATAGTGGTTTTGCTATCTTGGAAAAGTCCTTGATAAAGCGCCTGTAGAAACCTACATGACCGAGAAAACTTCGAATACCTTTAACGTTAGAGGGAGGGGGAAGTTTTTCAATAACAGATTTCTTAGCTCTATCAACTTCTATACCATCTTTGGACACTTTATGTCCTAAAACTATGCCATCTCTTACCATGAAGTGACATTTTTCCAATTTAAAACAAGATTACTCTCTTGACATCTTTGTAAAACACAAGATAAATTTTCAAACAATGTCAAAAGAGAGGCCAAAAACAGAAAAAGCGTCCATAAAGATCTCAATAGATTTTTCAATCATATAAGAAAAGATGGAAAGCATGCACCTTTGAAAAGTTGCAGGAGCATTGCAAAGGCCGAAGGGCATCCTCCGGTAAGCGAATATTTCGTAGGGGTATGTGAATGCTGTCTTTTCTTGATCTTCTGGAGCTACTGCTATTTGGTTGTAGCCTGAGTACCCATCCAGGAAGCAGTAGAAGGCATGGCCAGCTAGTCTCTCCAACATCTGGTCCAAGAAAAGAATAGGGAAGTGGTCCTTGCGAGTGGCTGTATTAAGTCTTCTGTAGTCAACGCACATCCTCCACCCAGTGACTGTCCTTGTTGGAATCAACTCGTTGTTCTCATTTCTTACCACGGTGACTCCACCTTTCTTGGGTACCGTTTGTACAGGACTTACCCATGCACTATCAGATATAGGGTGGATCATACCTGCATCTAATAGTTTAACTACCTCTTTCCTTACCACTTCTTTCATGGTTGGATTGAGTCTCCTTTGCGGCTGCCTCACAGATTTAATATCATCTTCCATTTGCGTACAAAAGAAAGGGTTTATACCTTTTAGGTCGGAGAATGACCATCCTATGGCAGTTTTGTGTTTCTTCAGCACCTTCAGAAGCTTCTCTTCTTCTTTTGTTGACAGCTCAACATTGATGATGACTGGATAAGTTTTGTTGTCACCGAGGAAAGCATACTTCAAATTTGGAGGTAACTCCTTAAGCTCCACCATCGGTTCTCCAAGAGGGATGTCATCTTTCTTTCTTTCTAGTTCTTCCACCACTAGTTCTTTATCAGCTATTTCAACTTCTTCGTTGATTTGTTCTAACTCGAGTGGGTAACTCTCCTCTTTTATAGTATCATCAATTGCTTCTTGTATTATGTCAATCATAAAACAGTCTCCTCCGTCTGATGGATGTTTCATTGACTCGAAGACGTCAATGGTGACTGTTTCTTCGTTCATCCGCAGCATCAGTTTTCCTTGCTCCACATCGATCATTGCTCTTGCAGTGGCTAGGAACGGCCTTCCAAGCAATAGGGGAATCTCGGCGTCTTCTTCCATATTTAGAATTACAAAATCTGCAGGGAAGATAAATTTGTCAATTTTAACTAAAACATCCTCAATTACCCCATCTGGTCGACTGATCGATCTGTCAGCTAACTGGAGAGAAACTGTTGTCGGCTTGAGCTCCTTTATTCCAAGAGCTCTGCACATGGACAATGGCATCAGGTTTATACTTGCTCCCAAATCACATAATGCTTTCCCTACTTCAATATTTCCTATGGATATAGGAATACTGAAGCTGCCTGGATCTTTAAGCTTGGGAGGAAGTTTCTTCTGGATGATTGCACTGCATTCCTCTCTCAAGGCCACTGTTTCGCATTCCTTCAACTTGCGTTTCTTTTGATAGAAGGTCCTTTATGAACTTCGCATAGTTCAGCATGCTTTGCAAGGCTTCGGCGAAAGGAATGTTGACTTGCAGTTTCTTGAAGATATCTAGAAATTTGGTGTATTGCTGTTTCTGGAACTCTTGTTTCAACCGCTGAGGGTATAGAATTCGTGCATAGGGAGATGGATCCGCTGGTTTTGGTTGCCGATCCAGAGCTTTCTTTTTCTCCCATTTGAACAGCTTCAGACTGCTCTTTTCAGCTTCTACTGCATCTTCTTCTTTCTCCTTCTCAGCTACAGGTTTAGCTTCATGTTCGGCTTCTTTCTTCTTTTCAACTGGTGGCTTTTCCACCGGTTGAATCATGATCCTACTTCTTGTGATAATTGAATTACATTGTGCATTTGGGTTCGTGTCAGTGTTACTTGAAAAGGTGCCCTGAGTTCTTTCAGTGAACTGTCTTGACAGCTGACCAATTTGAGTCTCCAAGTTTCGGATCGAAGTTTCTTGATTCCAAAATAAAGCTCTTGTTTCATCTCTGAAGGCATCTGCATTTTGAATGTAGTCTGATGTGGTCTTGGACAGCTGTGCAAAAGCCTTTTCCTATTCTGAAGTGGTGCCTTGAGGTGGAGGTTGTTGTTGCAATGGAAATAGAGGGTTCAGTTGATGGTTAGACTTGTAACTAAACCCAGGGTGTTGGTTAGGATTTTTCCACCCTTGATTACCATATTGACTCTTTCCTAGGTTGTTCTGGTTCTTTTGTTCATACCAGACTCCATTGTCCTCTGTTGGTGGCTTTTCAGTTGTTCTCATGTAGTCACAATCTTCAATTGCATGAGCCTCTGCACAAATACCACATTTAATTTGAGAATTACTAACAGAAGAGACTTGAGAGAGATTAAATTGCTTTGAAAGTGCATCTAATTGTTCTTGTTGTTTCTTGTGCATTTATAGCATTTGTTCATTTTGGGCTAAGAGTGCATCATAGCCTTCAGGCTTCATAATTCCTGCTCTTCTTTGTGCAACTGGGGCGGGGGCATTGTCAAATTCTATAGAAGCTAGGGATTCCAAATTCTAACGCTTCCTCTGGAATTTTTTTTTCAAGGAGCCTCCTGCAACAACATTTACCAGTGTTCTTGTGCTGGACGTCATTCCTTGGAAAAAGATTCTTGCTTTCTCCCATGCTTCAATTCCACGTTGAGGACACTTCCTGAGTAATCCTTTGAATCGTTCTCAAGCCTCGTACAAAGATTCACTTTCTTTTTGTTCAAAAGCAGTGATCTCCGCCTTGAGCCTTGCCATCTTTGAAGCTGAGAAATATCTAGCCAAGAATTTCCTTGCTAAGTCATCCCAATTGGTTATACTTCCTTCAGGTTGAGACTGCAGCCATTCTCTTGCATCATCCTTCAGTGAGCATGGAAATAATCTGAGCAAGATAACATCCCGAGAAACTCCATTCACCTTTAATGTATCATAGTAAAGAAAGAAATCATCAAGATGACTATAGGGGTTCTCTGTGCTTCCTCCAGTGAACTGTTCTTTTTGAATTAGTTGCAGCAGTGTCGGCTTCAGTTCAAAGTTGTTAGCCTCTATGTTGGGTCTAACAATGCTTGCCGTCTGTGGAACTCGAGCTGGAGTCATGTAATCTCCCAACGTCCTTGGAGCGAGTTGATTGTTTTCTGCCATTGGTTCCTCCTTTCGTTCTGTCGAAGTTGATGCTACTTTTATTTCTTTTGCTTTCTTTGCTTTTGCGTCCTTCCTAAGTTTCCTTTCTATCTTTTCTATCTCAGGATCAAACTGCAAGATTCGCGGGTTAAGAGTACCTCGCATAAACTAAGATTGAAAAGATGTGCAGGAAAAAAAGAAATCGCAAAACAGAAAC